GGGAGGTGCCCCTGGCCAGCAGAGTGCCCGCTCCTCTCCCAGGAAGAGGTTGGCTGCTCCGCACCCTCCACACCCCACTGGAGGAGACCGATGGGGTACCCTCAGTGAGCAGGAGTGAAGGAGGCTGGACTTGCCTCGGGCAAGGATGCTAGCCAGCCTCCTCCACCCAAGAGCGAGCCAAGTATGTGAATGTGTGTGTGAAAGAGAGAGATGGGAGGGCAATTCATTCTAGCTCATCAGTGACCCAAGGAGCTCAGGGACCCTCCCGAAGATGCCCGGGGCCCATCCCCAAATGCCACACACTCACCCATCCCACAATCTCTAGCCTTGAAACTGAAAACTTTTCAACTTCACCCCGGTCCAGAGATGTGCGGGGCGGTGCCCTTGAGACACTCATACAGTTGGTTCTGGACGCTCACACACGCTCCCACTACAGCGGAGCAGGGAACTCCCAGCTTTTTCCACAGCTAATTATAGCCCTGAAAGTCTGAGGATGTTTTGCAAGTGGCAGAGAGAAACTGCTGAGGTTTTTCTGCAAAGCCCAAGAAATCTACTTTGAGTACTCCCTTTCCCCAACCAACCCACATTCTCCAGCCTACCTCCACCCCATCCTCTCCGTGGGCCACTCTCCCAGGCCCCTCTCCCAGCCCCCAAGGCAGCCCCTCCTCCCTGCTAAAGATTTCTTACTTGGTTCTTTTTTTTTTTTTTCCATCTCTCTTTGGGGCTTTCGAGAAAGGGAACAGACATGGAAAATATTTTTGCAACAGTTTTCCATTCTGTGTCTCATTCCCAAGCCAAGGGGGAGGGGCGGGCAGGAACGGATGGGGTGGGGGTTGGGGGAATAAATGCTTTTTCCAAGAGCTCCATTTGGGTGTGAAAAAAGACAGTCCTGTCACTTCCCTACCCCTTCGGCCCAGAAATGATAAAAATTAGGAAAAAGATAAATCACTTGTTTGATTATGTGGTTTCTCAGAGAACTGAGAATAGGTAAGACAGTATCTGACAAATCTGTGCACCCACACACACACATTTTTTAAAATCCTCCAAATCCCATCTCTTGAAAAATACACTAGGAAAAGGAAATTCAGGGAGTTTTCGAAGCCATTGGGAGGAAAGAAAGAAACAAAGTTTGCAAATCGCGAGTCGATTCATTCTCCGTAAGCCTACCTCTCTTTCTAGCAAAGATCCAGGCTTCTCCAAGCGGGACTCTCCCTCCGGGTGTCCATGGGTGGGGGCAGGGTGGGCGACCACCCACCGGTCTTCCCAATTGGCAGCCAAGCTAGAGCTGCTGGCTTGGCTCTCTCGCCTTTCCAGTTACGGCCGGGGTATGGGCTGGGTCTCCTCCCCCGGCCCTTCCAAAGGAAGGACCTCTCAGGTTCCTGGAAGAAAATGAGTGCAGGGGAGCTGGGCGGGTGTCTCTGACCGCGCTGTCTTCGGAGGGATGGTTCCCCAGGAAGTTCGTGCCCCCCAACCCCCAGCTTTGGACGATCTCAACAGCAGAGCTTTCTTAGGAAAACGCTTGTCATGGCAACAGCTCCAGCCAACTCGGGCCAGACTCTGGCTCCCCAGCTCTCCCCAAGCAGTGCGGGAGGAGAAAGGGGCGGGGCGGGGGCGGGACTTGGCTCGAGTCCAGACCTTTACTGTACTGTTAAGGTGGCCCGAGCCGAGTT